TTAATTTGGAGGAAGTATGTACTTTTTTCTAGGGCATTAGCAATAAAAGGTTCATTGTGAAGCTTGTTTTGTTTTGTTTTGTATTTTTTTGTATTTTTTTTTTGAGGTTTATAAACAAACTTCTTATTGCTAGTTAAAACACTGTACTAGAGGTTCATACATGAGAAATATTTGAAAATAGAGAGTTGTTTGTAAATTATGATGTGGAATTAAAAAATTGAAAAAGTGAACGAAAACTATGATATTTTGGTAAAAAGTGTTTTTTTTTTTTTTTTTTTTTTTTTTTTTTTTGATAATGTATAAATAGTTGGTCCCAATATAAACCTTGGTAGAAGTTTTTTTTTTGTTGTTGGTGATAGGTTTGTTTGGGATGAAGTTTATGAGAATATGATGTGGCATGAGAAAAAGCATGAGAACAAACCTCTTTTGTTCTATAGCTTTATTCTCTACAACTTTTTTTAAAGAAGTTTCGGTAAATATAAATTCAACTTAATTATATATGTTCAATTTAACAAAAATAAAGTGATGTTTAGAAAATTAATATGTATTTATTTGTAACTAAATGTTGTAATGTTTTACAACAAATGAATATTTTACATCAGGTGCTCTAACAAATGATGAAGAAATGTCTTGAGGTTTAATTTGACATAATTCCACATCAATGCCAAGATTTTATTGTGGTGCCCTAGCATTTATTTTACTTTGACATAATTGAAATGACATACTATATACGGAGTATATAATTCACAATGCACATAAACATGCACAAACACGTCAGCATAAAGCTGAGTAATGAACACTTACCAAACTGAAAAGACATACAAAATAAATCACACGAAGTATACAATAATTAAAATCATATAAAAACGTAGTATTAAACTACATTACACGAATAACCAAAAGACTACTAGAATCACTTGTGTGTGTGAGCCAAAATTTGATTAGGTGAGTTACTATGTTCACCACTTGCTAAACCCTATAAAACATAATTTTATGTGAACATGTTTGTTTGAATAACGATTTATAATAAAAGTGTTTTGGTGATATTTAGTATGAAATGGTATTTGATATTTGTCTATTTCGTGTAATGTGGTTATTTATAGAAACTGAGGCAACTAAAAAAAACGAAAGAAGTATATAATTCGGAGCCTGTTAAAAAACTTCTATGGTTAAAATTATTCAAGAGTCCCTATGAACATATTTGATTGTGACATGATTTGAATTGTTGATTTTCAATTATTCCAATGCATTTTGTTCTAGTGAACCTAAACCCTATAATTTAGCTATATGTAGATAGCCAATTTTTTAAATTTTTTTTCATTTCCTGTTTTAATAGTCAAATTACAATTAGTGAAGTGTTAGAAACTCATCAAAGGCCCTTTTACTAGTCTAAAATTGTTTAATTAACTAGTGAGTAATTCTAGCCTCTTCATGAATTTGACCCAGCTACCACATACTACATAGTTTGTATAATTAAGATTATTTTTTATAGGGAAGCGATACCCTGTCAATTTCCTTGTCCACTTTTCAAACTATATTCAATAAATAAAAAATCAATTAGTTTATTTCCCTATGCATCAATAAAATTTTCGTTCGTCAATTTCTCTTAATTAATTTCTCCAGCGCTTTTTCCTTTTCTTTTGAAATCTTATTTTTTTAAATAAAAGAAAAAATTGCCCAAAATAATCTCACCTTTGTATTATTTTTAAATAATCCGATCTTTATACTCAATGTGCTCTAAATGGTCCCAACCAGTCAGGTAACCTGTTATAGCAAGTTACCTGACACGTGGCGGCTTGTGATTGGTCAAAAATTTTTTTTAAAAAAAAAAGATTTTATAAAAGAAAAAATTATAAAATAAATAAATAAAAAAAACCACCTACCAGCTGCCTAAACCCGTTCCTTCCCGCGGCTCTGGCCACCCAGCACCGGATCCGGCCACCCAGCCCCCAACCACATCACCGGCACCGGCATCAGTGCACGACGATCCCCTCCCCTGAACCACCAACCCCCTCCTTCCCTCCCTCACGCGGCATCCCCCTTCCATTGAAAACCCTTTCCCGTCCCGATCCCAGCCCCCTCCCCGTCTCCCGTCCCTTAACAGGCCACGCCGACCTTCCCTATCCCCCATTTCGACCGCGTCGTTCTCTCCCGATGTCAATTCTGGTCGTGCCGACCTCCCCAACCAGTTTCATGGGGTCTGGTTTGGTGGGCTTTTGATTTTTTTGAAGAGGGTTTTGGGGTTAGTTGGTTGGTTTGGTGGCGGTGGTTCCAGGGTCTGGTTTCGGGTCTGGTTTGGTGGCGGTGGTTCCTGGGTTGGCTGGCGTTTGGTTTGGTGGCAATGGTGGTTCTGGGGTCTGGGTTTGGGTGGTGAAGGGCATGGTGGTGGCTGAACTTAATTAGGTGGTGGTGTTTTTTTGTTATTTGATTTTAATTTACTTTTTTTTTTTGAAAGATTATTTGATTTTAATTTTTTTTTTTATTTTGGATAAATCAAGTTGTGACACGTGTAAATTAAATTTAATAAAAATAAAATTACCTCTTCAACCAGTTACTGGTCACTCGGGACCATTTAGAGCGGACTGGGTATAAAGGTCAGATTATTTAAAAATAACTCATAGGTGAAATTATTTTTAACAGACGCCCAAATGTGGGATTATTTTGGCCAATTTTTTCTAAATAAAAATACTATAGATGATTATCTTTTGCAAATATCATAATTTAGTTAGTTTTATTGATCTCCTCCCTGATTCCATATGAGAACATCAAAAGAGAATGGAGGGAGTAATAAACCATTTGCATTCAATAAACCAATTAAATAAATTTGATGATTCCTAGACAGTGATTAAAACCACCACCATCTTCAATAACCTTGTAAGGGCATCGAACATGTTGAAAAGTTATTTGGATGTTTCTTACCCAATTGTGTTTTGACTTTCGGGTATACGAGTTGTAATGCAAACCTATTAATGTCAATCCACGAAATCTAATATGTAGTTTTGATTGAATACAAACAATGTAAAGTGTATTGATACATCTAAGTATCAAGTAGGAAGGCCAAACCACCTTTTTTTTCTTTCCTTAAACCCCATAGCCAGCATTGATGTATGGGTTATCAGCAGGCGCCCCCGCCAACCCAAGTCTAGGGTCGATCCTGTATGCACTTTGTAATTTGCAATTTGTACTGTACACACCTGATGTATTGCATTTACTTTGTATTTTGTATTGTATATGCCAAAGTATGTACTTTGTATTTTGTATAGGGGTGGGTATCTTCTCATCTGCTTTATAAAACAATACCGACCCTAATGTCCTAATCTTTGTAAAACTAACATGCTTCAAAGCATCACACTCATCCTTCACCTCTGTACTTAGCATTTGTATAGGCTTTGTGAAACACATAATCAGCTAAGACACCCTTGTCAACAGCTAGGGAACTGTGCCTGGACTTTAAGTTCAATTCGGCCTCTTCAACTACCTTTCCCTGTTGAAGACAATGTTGACACTAATTCCTGCCCAAAATGTACTTCTCCGTCTTATTTCAAATGCTTCATTCATGCATGCATTGGTTTGCAATCCGAATTGTTGCATAACTAATGTCCACGCTTCATCAAACTCATCTGGTTCCAGAAAATCATGAACGGCTGTCCTCATGGCAACATCTATTTCGTTCCATTTTGGATGTCTACCTAAACTCTTATGTGCATTCTGTAATATATGCCACAAGCATAGCCTATGGGGGACATCTGGGAATACTGGTTTTCCAATGGCTTTGCACTGATCTGTGAGGATTCCCATTGGTTTTTTTCCCATGGATTCCATCCATTGCTGAAAAACCCAAACAAATGTTTGCGCATCCTCATGAAAAATCAAACACGAAGCGAAGATTACCGTTTTCCCGTGATGGTTAACCCCGACAAACGGGGACAAAAGGCATGCGATACCTGATCAACGTTAGTTATTAATTAATAAATGGTCCTTGTTAGAGTTTAATTAACTATGTTAACAAAGATGCAAACCTGTTAGTGCAAAAGGTTGTGTCAAATGTGATGATGTCACCTAAATCTTTAGTTAATGCCCTACTCCTTGCATCAGACCAGAATACATTCAACAATCTGCCTTCATCATCTCGCTGCATTGAACTATAAAATTGGCTATTAAACTTACGCTGCCTTTCAAAATAATCTTCAAGGGCTTTTGCATCTCCTTGAATCCTTGATAGGCGCCTTCACAGCATTCCTTACATCTCTTTTGTTGAAGGTCAAGTTTTCGTGGCCTTCGTTTTCAATGACTTGCGCAGTAAAATTCTGAACAATAGGGATTCCGGCTTGGTCATTAATCATTATCCTGTCAAAAGTAGGGTCATCAAGACCTCTATAATTGACCATCATCTGGCTAGATTTTGGATCAAGAGGATGATTGTGGTCAAGCCTGCACCGTGTGATCACCATTTTTCCCTCAATTATTCGAGCATATACAAAAACTTTAGACCCACTGACGTTAGAGTTAGTGTTTTGTTCTTGCCCGCCGAACTTACATTTGAGCCTAATTTCCTCCATCAAGATCTCCCACGCCTTTTCTAGATACACCTTTTTCCTTGTATTCTCTCATCAGTCTGTCATTCCTCGTAAAGAACATGAAACCTTTATTGTAGGCGTATACATGGCAGAATTATTGCGCAAACTCACTACCTGATTCAAATGCCATTCCTTCATTTGGGTTTTCATCGACGACCATATCATTAAGATCAAATTAGAACAACATATGGAGGAGTTAAAGTGCAGAGAGCTAACCTTCACGATTACTTTTATAGATAGATTTCGCCAGAGTGACATTCAACGGTGGTGTATTTCGCCAGGGCTATACTCGCTTGATTTATCCTCTGATTAGGAAAAATACAAATCACCACTGTATAAAGAACAGTATATTTATAAATGATCGAATTATATATATGTTTCAATAATACCAGGAGAAATTATTCGTTTACCCGCCAACATCACTTCTTCGAGGACCGCGCCATCAAAATCCCGCCCTTGTCTTCTGTATTGGCGCCCATATGAAAAAACGTATATGTGAGTGTCAAATCTGTCAATGTGTATGAGATGTATCCGTATCACCTTCCAACAGAAGGACTCAATGAAGAAATGAACACGTGAGGGTGGTGAGGTGTCGAGACAGGGATACATTATAGTGTCCGTTAACTTTCCTACAAACATGCCACGAATCATACCAGGTTTTTCAGAGGTTATTAAAATCTTTTTCTTTTTTGACATTTTTGCCCCTACACTATTTCTATAAATATCTTTTTGCATTTCACCCGTTTCCTGCTGACTTTTGCTTGCTATTATAGGGACATTTCTTTGCATCATAATATTATTACTTGTGAGAAAATTTAATTTTTATTTCTCAATTTTTAAAGAAAGTTTTAGAAGAGGGAGGTTTCAGATTTTCAACCATTTCAATTCTTATCAACTTAATATGGAGTCTCAACTTTCTGAAAGGTCAGTTTATTATCTTATGCACCCCATATTTCTTTTATGTATCTTGTTTTTTTTTTTTTTTTTTTTTTAGTAAGGATGTACCTTGTCCATTCCGCTTTAGTTTAAATTACACTATTAATATAACATACGACAACATTGCATTTAGTTATCTACCTATAAAGATTGTCAAGGGTTTAGGATAGTAAATTGGCAACTATTAGGAGATTATTCAAGTCTTCAATGAAGGGTATTGAGATTGGATTACCTAAAGTACCAGTTGAGGTCAAATGGTCCTTTTTCCTTCTCCTTAAAGATTAAAGTAGGTTAATCTGATCACGTACAAGTTCAATTAAGGTCCGATCAACATTTTTTGTACACTTCACCTTTGCAACTAGGCGAATATGATCACATACCTAATCGATTGGGATGGGATCCAATCTATTATTAGTTGGAGTAGCCCTCTAGTGAATCTCAACACGTAAATAATCTTTTCTCTTTTTTGTTCACACGGGACAACTCACTTTGAGGTTTTCCTATCTCCACCATGATACTCTCCCGTATTTTTTATTAAGTGTTTTACATTTTATTTCCGGCCGTAATTTAGTAAGGGTTCTATTTCTATTTGCAGAAACTTATAAGAATATTTACTATTTTCCTTCTCTAAATGGTCCCTTTATATCCTATTTTAATAATTTTCTAATTCTCTCTTCACTCTACTTTTAGGCCCTGTTTAATTTGATGTAAATGTTTTCATGAAAAATGATTTTTCATTATTTTTCATTTTCTTTTGTTTAGTTTATAAAAGGGTGGAAAATAATTTTTTCACTAGATTGCATTTATAATGGTAGAAAACATTTTTCTTCACACAACGAGAGGAATCACATTATTCTCATTTCTCCTTATCTCCCTTTTTTCTTTTCTTTCATTCATCCTCATATTTTCACTCTTATTTTTAATTTCTCATTACCTTTTCTTGTAAGAATCAAACAAAGGAAAACTATCTTGCAAGTGTGATTTTCCTTGAAAATATATTATCCATGAAAACTAATTTGTCATTGAAAATATTTTATATCGAACCAAACAAAGCATTATCCACTATTACTTTGTCATAATTTTATTTTTTATTCTTCAACCTACCTCACATTAATAATAAATAAATGTTTCGCACTATTCCTCCTAGAATGATATCCCCAGTAAAATGGAACTCTTATTAAATTACGGAAGGAGTATAGTTAGAGATTGACTTTTTATTTGCTTAAAGTCTTTCCCCTGAGTAGGTGCTAGGGAAAAATATGTAGCTTAAATAAGGTTTGTGCTTGGTTTTTGAGTTAATGCTTGCTGTATAGGATAGAGTATTACTTTGCGTATGGTTAGAGTAACATGGTATTTATATTACGTATTAAACTGAATCTCCGGTTCCCCTTATCCGCAAATCCTAGTATAATGTATAAGTGTGCTTCATACGAAACCCTTGAACAAATTTTAAGGGAAAATCTTCCTTAAGTTTCATTTTTCATCAAGCAGCTACTTTGATTTGCCATTTACGACTTGTGAATTGGTTGTTCTATGTGGGTATATACAGGACATATATGAATGCTAGAAGACGGCGCAACGGCTACAACTCTGTAGCAGAGATTATACAAAAATGGAAAATCCAAAATCAACAACTTGGTTCAACCATAGAAGAACTGAAGAAGAGCACTCGAAAGGGTCCAGCAAGAGGATCAAGAAAAGGGTGTATGCCAGGGAAAGGCGGTCCTGAAAATTTGGGGTGCACATTCAGAGGAGTTAGACAGAGGACTTGGGGTAAATGGGTAGCTGAAATTCGCGAACCTATCAACAGTATGACCACAGGATATGGGAACAACAAACAAAGTAAGCGAAGCAGAAGGTTGTGGCTTGGTACTTTCTCTACTGCCATGGAGGCGGCCTTGGCTTACGATGAAGCAGCCAAGGCTATGTATGGCCCTTCAGCGATCCTCAACTTTCCTCTTCAGAATAAAGAACATGAAGATCGAGTTTTGTACAGTTCAGACATGCAACCAACAGCTTCCGAGTCTACTGAAGGGTCAGAGCATTACAAGGGATTCAATGAAGAGCTGAAGTCGCCTTGTGTGTCCCAAGCGACAGATGGTGGTGGAACTAAAGAAGAATCTGCGATGGGATCGACACATTCGAGTAATGGGAGCTACTTGAATTTAGGGTTTGATTACACCCATGATTGGGTGATGGAGCCACTAGATGTGTTTGGGGGTAATTTTGGGCTGAAGCAAGAGGATGATTATGAGTTTGGTCAGCAGGGATTATTTTACAGTGACTTCCTGTTTCAACACAGCAAGTCATCAGATGTAATGCCGAATTACAAGATACAGCAGCCTTTGAGTGGACCTTTAGGAATTGATTTCATCAATTCTTCAGATTTTTTAAGGCCTAATACCAATCTTGACAGTCTACACTAGAAGGCGACACAAGCACAATTGAGCTCATACCGTGAGGAGCAGCATTCAATTGTGGTTTTTAATATGCTTAAGAGTTTCTTAGGTTGCTTCCCGTGATAGAGTCAGAGGAGTTAACCAAAGTTTCACATTTTAGGAACAATAGATTAAACTTGGTAATAAAGTTTGGACGTTTGGTAATGCCCCGGATAGAAATGTGTGGGTTTTACCTTCTCTGGCACACTTGGAGAGGTTTTTTACCACATACTTTGTCCTATTACATGAAGGGGTTATACCACCCAGCTTACTATTGTTCAATTGTTCTCTTTCTTCCAAAGTTGTAGCTGATGTTGTAAACATCAGCATTGGATCATGATAAACAACTAACAAGTATTGAATTAGCGATTTTTAGGACGTAGAAACGCATAGAACAAGCGCGTTGCATACACACTTTCGAACAAGTAATCTATGTTATTCCTTCAACCTAAGACAAGGAGGAGCAATAGTTACAGAGGGAGGTGGAGCATCATAAAAAGAATGAAGATAAATTGCAACTAAACTAATAAATTTTTGAATAGATAGGAGGTTAACGCACTAAAATAATGTACTGCATACATTTGCAGAACAGTGTAACACACATTGAAAGCATATATAACAAGTTGCATCTCAGTTCATATTTAGCAAAAGGATAACCAGAAACTACAAAAGCACAGACCCCAAGGAGTTGATGATGTATCTGAACTCGTCGACTGTACAATTGACCAAATCAAAATGTAATCTTCCACTTGTATACCCACAGAAAATATCAATGCTCTCTTCAATCCAATTGCAACTACAACGTATCTGCCACTACTTTCAGCCAATCAAAGTACTGCTAGAATGCATTTGCACAAGCCTTGGCAGAATGCTGACGCTTCATTTACAACACCGTTGTCCTTCAACTGAAATAAGGATAAAGAAATCAAATGCAGTTCTCATTAAAAACTGAACGGCACATATCCATAACTCATCTAGCATAAAAGATATGGCACATCATCTTATCAGCTTGAAATAAGTAGTATGACCAATACATCTTTTTACAATCTCGATTAACAAACATCCCAATACTGCACTCACTTTAAGCATAAAGAAGAATGTCCTGATTTCTAAGGAAAAATTGCGAGAAAGGTCCTTTTAAGAAGTCGACTTTGTGAGGAAGGTCCTTTTATAAAAAAGATGGCACAAAAGGTCCTTTTATGGACTTTGGGTTGTGAGGAGGGTCCTTTGACCAATCTCCGACGTTGACTTCCAAATTCCGGCCAAAAATAAGTCACGTGCACAGCACATGACTACTTTAGAATTTTTTGTTTTTTTCTTTTATTCCCTTTCCCTGTTCTTCTTCGATTTCCCCAATTTGAGAATCAAACTTCAATTCCCAACTACAGCAGCATTCACATTCCCACAGCTCCACCACTTCAACCACCGTCTACTACCATATTGCCACCACGCACCACCGCATCACTAACATCAGCAACACCCAAACACCGCACAACAATGTCCACAACAGCCACCAAAACAATGGCAACTCAGCACAAATCCCCTAAACTCGACCCTGCTACTCCCTCACGCACCAAATTTAACCCGAAACCACCAGCCTGCATTCACGGCCGCCGCACCACCATCAAAGGAAGCTGGGACTTAAACTCCTCTAACCACCGCCGCTCAACACCAGCTCCTCCAATTCGAACAGAGCATCCCTCAAAGAGCTTCAATTCAGCCAACAAGCAGCCCACAAAGCCTTTAATTGTAGTTTCTGGGTTAAAAATTGAAGTTTGGTTCTCAAATTAGGGTTAAATGAGGGAAATGGTTGAGGAAATAAGGGAAAATCGAAGAACGTGGAAAGGGAAAAAAAGAAAAAAAAATTCTAAAGTAGTCACGTGCTGTGCACGTGACTTATTTTTGGCCGGAATTTGGAAGTCAACGCCGGAAATTGGTCAAAGGACCCTCCTCACAACCCAAAGTCCATAAAAGGACCTTTTGTGCCAACTTTTTCATAAAAAGACCTTCCTCACAAGGTCGACTCCTTAAAAGGATCTTCCTCGCAATTTTTCCGATTTCTAATGACCATTCAAACCTATTAGGGGGGACGGGGGATAGACAAGAGCCAGGTACTGGCTGTAACTAGGTTAGATGTAGGATTTTTTTAATTCCTAAGAAGTCCCAACACCCATATAAATTCACTTCCCCTAGGAAATTGCAAGACTTGTTTGTAGCATATAACAGGAATTCCCAAATCCCATTAGAAGTTTCAATTACCTAAGGGGAGACTACGTAAACGAGTTCCTCCATTTTATGGAAAGTGGTTCCTATGAAATTGCAAACCAAAAAAATGCAAATATAATCACTTCCTTAGGTAAGTTGGAACTGTTGTAACTAAAATTAGCTTCTAGTGCAGTACAGATGCACTCATGCAGGTTATAAGTGTGGTTTGGCCTACGGAGAATCCACTCATGATATACTGCTAACTCTAAGTACAGTAGCTAGTTTCTCCAGACATTTCACTGTAGATGACTACAATTTTCCAACATAGAGTGGAAGAGGCAGCCTAAAATCCTGAATAACAACTTTGATAGTTTCAGCAACCCATCATTGCAGCACACTTAATTCAATTCTACAGCATAACAATGAGTTTATGTTTTCCCAATCCAGAAAGATATTCCTCTATCAGTAAGTCCATAGCAAGTTACAATCACTTTTGGCAATTTCCAGGTTACAAATACAAAGTATATATGTTTAACTTTGGGATTATGATACATGTATGAATGATCGTACGGAGATTGATGACAGCAAATAATCTAGTTTACCCTACCCTCTCGATGCTTATTTCTTTAACTTCATTTAAATTTAAATTCAATATCTATAAATTCTTCTCATTTTCTTCTTGCTCACTTGACTAATATATCTTCCCTTGCATATACCTTCAATCTCTCTATTCCTTTCTACCATCTTGGATCTCAAATTCCCTTACATTCAGCTTAAAAGGATAAAAGCTCAGCTTTTAGAAATTGCAGTCTATTCTCATGGTTTTTTCATATGTGGAATCCAGCTCCGAATGTCATATCAGAATTGGGCATGGGGATCTATTTCTGCAGCATGTTACAGAATCCTGATTACTACAGTTTAAAGCTGTACATCAAGAACTCCCTGTTCTGGAACATGAACAAAAAGGAACTAATTCGATAAAAAAAAAATGCAAGGTAATGTTGATAACTCCAACAGGCAACAGTAAAAGGCAGCAAGCCAGCAACAGTCTTAGCAGAAGACAAAGGTATAGTCAGTTAGTCACAACTCACAAGATTGATAAGACCAGCATGGCTTAAAGAAAATTCAAAGGGAAAAACTTGTTCATAAAGTAAACAATTTATCTTAGCTCGAACTTATTCCCATTTGGTGGAACAATGCAAGTAGCAGAAGACTATAACAACAAATGAAACACATCTTGCAGATAAAATAATCAGGCAGATTAAGACTAATGACCCCCCCCCCCCTCCTCTCCCCAAAAAAATAACAAGTAGGAGAAAAAGGGGTGAGAAGCATCTAGTCAGTAAACAGTCAGCTACCAAAGCTTCAAAGGAAGCATACAAATTCCAGTGAATGTCAGAATCAATTTTTACCCCTGCAAATGAGAAGCTAAATCCTCCTCCTAGTTGCCACACTCAGCGGCTCAGCGCTCATCATGGTCACAAAATAAATTCACGCAAAAAAAAAAAAAAAAAAAAAAAAGAAATTCCCCCGCTGGAATATTTATATACTACCTCCGTTAATTATTATGTGCAACTTTAGGGCATTATTTGTGAGATATAAAATATTCCAAAGTTGCACATAATATTTAACGGAGGTAGTATTAGAGCAAGTGCAATGGAGGGGATTCACTCTCCTTTAAGCCTTCTCTCTCCTCTTAAGAGGAATCCCCTCCATTGTAGACATAAATGTTAGAGTCCTCTTACCAAGAGGAATATGGTTCTTCCTCTTGGGGAAGAGGATGATGAAATAGGGAAGGGGATTGAAAAAGGTGGGGACAAAAACAAAAATAAAAAAAAAATAAAAAGCAAAAAGCAAAGTTGAACCAGCAGCTGCAACGTGGCACGTTCCTGCTGGCCATTTGGGCTGGCGGGGCCCACTTGTTGGTTGCACATGCTGACATTTGTTGCTTTCTCATTGGTTGACATTTACACATGCTCTAATTTTTCAAACGGTAATAAAAAAAAACGGTAAGTTATTTTTAAAAAAAAAAAAACACCAACGGTTATATTTTTTTTTTCTCTATAAAATGAACCTAAATTTGCCATATTTTCAAAATCTTCATTTTCTCCATATTTTCTCTCCTTTTCCTATTAATCTCACTCATATTCAATTTAATTCATTACATTTTATCTTTCAATATGGATCGAAATAATCCAAATTTAAGAAGAAATTTGAATTTTCAAAATATTCCAAACTCTCAAAATAATTCAAATAATCCTCCTTTTGATCCAAATATCCTCAATAATCCTCAATTTCAAGCTGCCTTACAATGGTTTGGTAATCAACCAAGACCAATGAATCCAAATGATACAACCCAATATCACCAACATTTTCCTCAACATAGTCCATTATTTCCCATGTCTCAACATTTTACCCAACCTATGGACCATTCTCCGGGAGGAGATGGTAGCACGAACGCAACTCCAACTGAAGAGGTACGAGAAGCGCAACATCTAGAGGATCTTGATGATGTTGTCGTTGAAGTTTCTCCTGGAGAGACTATGCCGAGGAATTCATGGAATGTAGCAGAGGATAACGCACTTGTTTCGGCTTACATCAACGCCGGGGGAAATGTTACAAAAAATACAAAAAGGACTAAGGCTGGATTTTGGGCTGCAGCTTGTAAATTGTACGAACAAGCACGACTTGCAAATCCTGATGAGCTCCAGCAGACGAGGAATACTAAGTCCTTACAACAACATAGGGATCACATTAATTCGAATGTGAACAAGTGGGTAGAGGTATACAGTTACGAGATACGACATCCGAAGAGTGATGTTGAAAAACGTGCACACAATGCTTTTGCAATGGCGAACAAAGGTAAACATTTCCATTTACAACATTGTTTTGAAGTTATGCAAAATTTTCCAAAATGGGATCCGAATGAGGTCATGCAATTACCTGCTGAAAGCGGAGGAAGTGCAAAACGATCTGAACCAGAATCACCAACTGTTGAAGGTGGAAAACCACGGACTCGACCAGATGGCATAAAAAAGACGAAGAGACTAGCAATGGAATCTGGTTCTTCGTCTTCATCTATAAACCTTGATTCGTTCAATACAACTCTTGCAGAATATAGTGACAAGAGGTATGACCAAGGAGAACGAATGATGGCCTTAATACGAGAGCGAGATGAAGAAAGGAAAAGGCAAAAGGAAGAGGAGATGAAGTTCAAAATGTTAAATATGTTGATGATGAAACCTAACCTTGATGAATTTGAGTTAGAAATGTACAAAAAGCTTAGAGAGGAATTTAGTAATAGGTTCTTATGAAGTTGTTCTTCTTATGTTATTTTAATGTTTTATTTATTTCATGTTCTTAATGTATTAGTTTTTTTTAATGTTTTATTTATTTTAATTTTTTTAATGTATTAGTTTTTATTTTTTAATGTTTTTAATATATGTTTAATCATATTGTAATAGTTACTATTATAATTACTATTATTATGACTGTAATTATTATTATTAGGAGTGGTAAAAAACAAAAAACAAAATTCAGTGTGTAGTCACTTCATGCATTGATATATCTACTTCATATGTCAACTTTTCTGTAAAGCTATACATATCTCTGCAAAGCTACAGATTATTGTCATGCAAAAATCTAAGCTTCTGACATACATCTCAAAATTCAAATTTTGAAATGTGTTACCAAAATATTCTCTTGCATTATTACTTAGTTCATGTGGATCATATTGTCTATATATTGACCAGTTTCATTCACATATAATTCTATCAGTCCTACAAATACTAACATTCAGTTTTATACAAATATTATCAAAAAATTGTAAAATGAATTTTGATTCTAGTTCTTCTACTTCTAGTGATGAAATATACGATTCCATGTTGTTAGATTTTATTGAGGAAAATCGACAACAACAAGTGATAGAGGATGCAGTAACATATGTTATTAACACCGATGTAGAAGAACAAGAAGTTCGTGGTTCACGACGTAAAAAAATGTCAAGGTGGATCGTTCCAAGAGATCGTGAAGGAGCACATGATCGGTTAGTTACAGACTACTTTAGTGACCATCCATTATACGGCGATGAAAAGTTTCGACGTAGGTTTCGTATGCGAAAACCTCTATTCATGAAGATAGTGAATACGTTGAGTGCAACTGATAGATTTTTTCAACAACATCCAGATGCCACAATGCGACTAGGTGCTTCTGGAATTCAAAAATACACTGCAGCAATGAGAATGTTAGCATATGGTTGCCAGCTGATCAAATTGATGAGTATCTAAAACTTGGGGCAAGTACGGCAAGAGAATGTCTTATACACTATGTTGATGGAGTGATTTGTGAATTCTCAACAGAATACCTGCGGAAGCCAAACGCGGAAGATCTTGTTCGTCTCCTTAAACAAGGGGAAGAAAGGGGTTTTCCTGGCATGATGGGGAGCATCGATTGTATGCATTGGGAGTGAAAAAATTGTCCAGCTGGATGGAAAGGAATGTATCAAGGAAGATCTAAAAGGGCAACGGTGATCTTAGAAGCTGTTGTTTCTTGGGATTTATGGATTTGGCATGCCTTTTTTGGCACGCCAGGGACATGCAACGATATAAACGTTCTTCAGCGTTCTCCCGTCTTTGACGATATTTTAAATGGTCGAGCTCCACAAGTTAATTTCACTGTGAATGGAAATACCTATAACCAAGGATATTATCTCACAGATGGGATTTATCCAAAATGGGCAACATTTATTTCCGCTATTACCTCCCCACAAACCCCTAAACAGAAGTTGTTTACAATCAAACAAGAGAGTATTAGAAAAGATGTTGAGCGTGCTTTTGGTGTGCTACAAGCTCGATTTGCAATAATTAGACATCCGGCTTTGGCATGGAGTGTCGAAATGCTATGGAAAATCGTGATGGCGTGTATTATCATGCACAATATGATTGTAGAAGATGAGCGCGATAATTACATGAATTATTGGGATCCAACGGAATTTTCCACCGAACAACCTGAGAACCTAGCAGAATCATCAAGGAGAACAGCAACAACTTTCACCGTTACCCCTGGGCGTTATAAAGATCAAAATTTAGCTACATTGATGGCTACACGAGATAATCTTCGTGACAAACAAATTAATACATCTTTGAAGAATGATTTGCTGGAACATATATGGGTTAGGTTTGGGAGCACTTTTGTCAACTCACCTTAAAAATAAAACGTATTTATGATTTAGTTTCTCGTTTTTCAATTATCGGCTTTTAATGTATTTTTATGTTTCCGAATTTCATGAATTGTCTTTTTACATAATGTATTGCAATGTTCCATATTAACTATTTTATATGGATGACAACTGTTCTATTTACTAATTATGCATTTTAAATTATCATTAATTGTACATTTTTGTAATATATTAAAATTGTCATTAATCTAATTATATTAAAATTTACAAATATCTAAAATAGAAGTTGGTTAATAAATAGAAAGGAAGGGGATTCATGAATCCCCTTTGTTGTGGGAAAAAATAAAGAAAGAGGAAGAGGAAGAGGATGGAGATTGTGGAAAATGATGTGGAAGAAAGAGAAATGATGTGTCAAAAGGAGAGAAGGAGAGAGAAGAATTAAGGGGATTCATGAATCCCCTCCATTAAACATGCTCTTACAATATCACCTCAAGTAACCATGTGAGATCCCCAAGGATCAGAAAAGTCTTGACCTTTAGAGCCATTTTACTCATTAAGTGTTTGATAAGATTTCCAAAATTGACACTCTAACTCTCCTTAATAACCTCTATGACCCCTTGCTTCTGCAATACTCTTCGATATCATAATGAAAGGCTGTCTCTCAGATGTAGGTAAACCTCAGGCTTTCACACTGAAGCAAAGATCAGTAGGTAAGCAAAAATAAGAAAAGCCATCACCCTTCTATTTCTCCATTGCTCAAAAGAATGACATTGCAACAATACACAATTTCTCAGATCCCTCACAGTTTATTTGTACACAGTCTATACCATTACATGTTAAAACAGGCAAAAACCAGAACAATGAGGAGCATAAGGATAACAAGAACAAAGGACCTAAAGAATAGACACCAAGCCTCCTCAAACACATCATGTTTTACTACAATCACTAATTAGAATAGAAAATAGCTTAAGCATTTAATTTATTAACAACTGATGTAATAGACATTGCCATCACTCAAAATTCCAAAATTCATACAACAAATGTGCCCATGATGGAAAAGGTAGATAATAAAGCAGCTACCATACAAAAGAATAGATCCGAGGTACAGGGAATCGGAAGGAATGAACAGAAGAGAATAACCAGCACTGTTCTCCGAAAAACTAATTCCCACAAGTGCCTATAATCTAATTCCCATGATCCATATTCCGTACTCTTTGTAATATATGGTTAGGATATCTCAACTAAATGACAATAAGGGAGAACTATTACATATGGGACTATCTTATACATTCATCAAGGAAAAACTTTCAAAAGTGTTCCAACTATTAATGGTTGACAGAATTTAGGGGGGCTTTTAATTCTGACAATCAGGTAGGGTACACAGAATGGAATCCAAATAAGGAAAACAAGGGGAAAGGAAAGAAATTAGCCTGGTATCTTTTCTGAAAATGAACTACTAGCAGATTTCCTTTGACAGTTAAATTCAACATAGAAAATCAAATTATGAATAGTGGTTGGAGATGGTTGGAGGGAACTCGTCAAAGTTTAGGAAAGGAAGGGCAATTAATGGGGTTTTAGGGTTTGAAAGGAAAGAGATAGAAGGGGTAATGGGTGGGGAAAGAAAATGGAAATAACTGAGGGGGTGGGAGTGGGGGTGGGGAAGTGAAAAGAAAAGAAGGTAAAGGATATCACAAAAATGGCCGAATAAATTATTCCAAAGTGAATCATGTCATTTCATTCCCTTAACCTTAAATGAACACCCCAAACCAAACACCCCCTAATACTTTCCTCTATGTGATTTCCATAATCCATGACCATATAATTTAATGTCTTTTCAATTAAAGTCTAAATTTTGCAGCCATATGTGGACAGCATTCACCTAAGCAAAATGACAATAGGGAGAAATATTATGTAACTATCTAACACATAAGAAAACCTTCAAAAATTGGTTCTAACAAAAACAAATGGTGTGAGAAGACACAATTTCAACAATGTCAACACTAACAATTATGAGACCGATGAATATAATACCCCATTTTTTTTTTCTTAAGCGACACACTTTCCTAAACCGACCGTTAGCGGACACTTCCCAAATATGGAAACTTTCTATGGGTTAGCAATTCACTACCTAAATTGTTATCTTGGGACAATATTACCAATTTGCTGATATAGTTCGCCTTTTGCAAACTTCAAAGGAGGGTGAGAGCAAATTAGGTTAGGCTGGTTAGAACTAAACATAGATGGTTTTTACATTCCCAAGAATCCCAACCATATAAAATGACGGAGCAGATCAAGCTCTCTCGGAAATGCTGGTTTAAACTTATCATCCTCAGGCCTGTTTAAATGGATCCCTAACAACCAGTTTTTGTATAGGTATAGAGCTATAGAAGCAATTTATAAAGTCTCAAAAGCAAAAGTAGGTGTTACTTCAGGCCTACTAGATCACTATTACAACTCCAATTGTTTATTTGGTCAATATACTATCAAACAAAGAAAAAAGCCTGGCCAAAATTCAAAAGTACCAAATTTAATTTTTATTAAGAGTCTACAGCTTGAAATAAAATGTCTCCATAACAGCCCAATAATGCAGAGCAATGTTGGCTGAAACTATTCCTCTTAGAAGGGTATCTGTAATCTGCAGTCAAAATTGGAATTCTCATATCCTCCCATATTATCAATCAATTGTAATTGTCTAAAATACCAAAATTTAGATAGCACCACAGCAACACAAAACTCAAAAACACATGATAATATAACCACAGAACTCAAACTGCTAACATCACATAAGACTCTACAAGTAAGATTGTGGGAAAATCAATTTATGTCAGGTTAATAAGCAATGGTAACGAAGTCACAAGAAATTCTAAAAGCATTACCTGGTACCAGAACAAAAAAATGCCCAATTATATCCACAATTCCCAATCATTCAAGCCCAGCAACTTTGTGCCTCAACTTCATGTTATGAATTTCCTATACAAACAGATAAGAGGAATTTAATAAGTTTCTTGGCTTCCAATTACACAGCAGAGTTAAATCCATGGTCTAAAATATCAGTCCATATTCAATACTCAGTTTCCATTGCATTCAATACATTATGTGTAAGACATCCATAACTCCATACTCGGTCAATGCATACACAAAGCCATTTTAAAGAACACCTACTACAAAAACTCTAAAACATTTAAGCCTTTAAACAACTAAAGTTCAATGCAAAACTTACGTTAGTTCAAAGCCAAAATGTATACTCAACCCGAACACAATTGAATAATTCCGATTTCATTATCTTAAACATCATTAGTATGTTATTGACAATATATGAATCCACATTTCCCAATTCCCCTGCATTTAACATAATCCTAGTACATCCTATATCATTACGCATCAACACAAGAAACCAACAATAGCTAACAATAATTCGATTTCAGTAAATCAATCCACAAATATCAATTAGTTTCCATTCAAATAATTAAAAAATGCAACTACTTTCTACACCATTCGAAAATCAAAAAGCGTAATAGCTTACCATCTCAAGAACTTTAGAAGAAGATCCCTCAACTTGAGTAGCCAAGCAATCAAGCTTAGCAAGCATCTTCTCATACAACTCCTCAACTCCACTCACATAACTCACAGCATCTGATCCCACCAACCTACTCAAACTCCCCAACTCGTACCCGGCCGCGGCGTACGCCTCCAAATCCTTCTGATCCTTGGCAACCCTCTTCATCTCCTTCAAATTCATATTCTCTCTCTCCTTCTCATCCTCCTTCATAGGGGACCCACCTTGAAAATTACAGGGCAAGCAGGGAAGCTCCGAATTCGGGGAAAACGCACCATACTGCCCTCGAAACGCAGGTCCAATGTTAACCACATCCAACGGCGTCGTTTCGAAGGAATTCTCCAATCGAACGAAATGATAAACCCTATACTCATGAGTATGAATCAGGGATTGGGTATCATTAAACGGCGTCGTTAGGAGAAGAAAAACACGAGGAGATTCAGAAGAGAGCGATTGCGAGACAGCGAACTCGTGAAGCGAAGGACGAAGCGGGGATCTCCGGCGACCGGAGAACCAGCCGATGACGTGGCGGTGGTGGGTACGGCGGAGGAGGGAAGCGAGGTCGCCGGAGGAGTTGCCGGAGGAGTTGCCGGAGGAGATGAACCCGGTAATGGTGGCGATGAGAGAGGAAGGAGAGAGAGAAGGAGAAGGGGATTCGTCGGAGAGAGAAGAAGTATGGAGAGAGAATTTGCCGAAGAGAAGGCCTTGAGTGTTTGATGGGGAAGAAGCGAAGCGGTTGATGAGGGAAGAAAGGGTTGGGCCTGAGATGGTTACCTTCTGCAATGGAAGGTCATCCATGGCGGAAGAGGAGGAGGAGAGAGAAAGAGAGGTGGTGAAGTTGGGGAGTTGGAGTGGGTCAGAGACAGGGTGATGTTTGTTTTGTCCGCCGGATTGTGGGATCGGGGCCATTTTCAAATTGTTGGGAATGGTTTTGTTTATATTTGCCTGGTCTCTAAGAGTGGACTAATTCGCACCGATATTCGGTAGTATTTTTGGGTGTTCAAGGAAAATGATATAAACAACTCTTATAAAATTTGAAATTACTTTGGATGGCGTAAGAAGAAGACAACAATTATATAATAATAATAATAATATAAAATCAAAACTTTTAATAGTTAGCATTTTAACTTTTTGCCAGGTGTTATAACTCATATGATACTCTCTTTGTTTCGTATTAATTACAATTAGGGTGTTCCTTAAGAAAACTTATAAGGTGGGGCCTAAAAGATGAATTTTTTATAATATAAAGTAGTGTAAGCAGGAGAGAGAAATAATAAAAAAAAAATGTAGTATAAATGGGGTTGGTAGGAAAGAGAAATAATAAAATATTTGTGAAAGTGGGGTTAGTGAGAGATGAAATTATACTAGTAAAATAATGGTGGGTCTTTTCCAAATATAAAAGTGTTGCAATTACTATAAAACGGATGTAAATAAAAAGTGTTGCGATTAATACGAAATAGAGGGAGTAATAACTATTGTGACATTTAGTATTCCAATTTTTTGTCATGTGGTTCTCTCATATGGGGGAAGTTTTTTCACGATTTGATCTGATCTAATCTGGTATGATATAATCTGGTCTGATTTGATTTGATCTGATTATTTAATTTGACCAAACTTTGACTTTATGTGTAGATAACCTATAGAGAAAAAGATATCAAGTAAGGTCTTGTTAGATTCGTATTAATGTGTAATTTTCATACTAATTCCGTTTCATATTTTTTGCAACTTTGGGATATTATTTGTGAGATATAAAATATTCCAAACTTGCAAAAAATATGAAACGAAGGTAGTAATTTTTTTCATTACAAAATTAAATATATTTAGCGATAACAAACCGTACATAAAACGATAATTTAATCTGACCTATATTATTTTATCTGATCTAAACTTATTTTTTCTAAAATAAGTAAAAATAAGGTAAATTAAACATGGTATAAGTACATACCAAGGTATATTAGTCATTTTCTATGAAACTTTTAATTTCAACAATATATTTTGTATTTTTGTGTACCACTAGAACTACATATAGTACATTTAGTACCATTGAAGTGGTACTATCAGACATCAAATTAGTACCATTGAAATTTTCATAATACTGGGAGTACAAATAGAGTTTTTTAAACATGGTAAATTTCAATGATACTAATGTGGTATGTGATAGTAATATTAAGACTTGCAAATTTCAATGATACATATAGAGTTTTTTTAACATGGTAGATTTCAGACTTGTTTTACATCAAATGATACTAATTTCACTAGCTATATATTTGAAGTAAAACAAAATAATGTTCACTACAGTGATGAGCGTGACAGCAAATTTGTTATCAGATCATCCTTTCATTACTTCTCTGCGGTGCAGAACAGAACTGGATTTATCTCGGATTTTAGATGAAATGTGTATGGATAATTTCAGCTGATAAGCTCATAAGTATTATTATCTACCTTCATCATGCAGAATTTGCTACACACTCAAATTTACAAAAATCTACTCAATAGGCAACTTAAGTACAGTAATACTTATACTTAATTCTTAACAGCATTGGTCTGAATTTTGATATGTGATATTTCTGATGATGCTATGTGTGTTTGCGACCGTTCCCCTCACTACTTAAGTTCACTACCTTTGATGTATATATGTGCTAACAAGTGAAAATTTCTTCCTTACAATGATAGTAATTTAGCTCATTTTGGACGTTAACACTACTGCACAAGCAATTTATTGATCAATTGTATCTTCAAACCTTTTCAGATGCTGCCTGTGCTAACACTGCTTATAAGCACCGATTTTAGTGAATAAATTTGCACTGCTGCCATCATATAAGTTGAACATTTCATTTTCAGTACCTCTGCATTTGAATTTGCACTTTCTTTAGTCTTTTTACATGAATCATAGTAATACATGTAGTCCAGAAATACAGTCTGCTACATTGGTAAAAATAGGAACTACTAAAACATAGAGAATATTTAACTGAAATACCTCAAATTCATTGATTTTGTGTATACAAAACTACATTTCTTACAGCATATCTTGCGGTGTGTTTCGACCTTATTACCCATGTTCAAAGAATAAAAAATGCCACATCTATAACAAATACAACTATTAATCCTATAGCAAAAGGCCTATATACTAAAACAGAAAATGTATACAATATATCACAAGTTTTTATATAGTTCAAAAAACCCAACTTTCATAATTCAGATCAGTGATGGCTTTTCTCTGCAGATTCCTCAGGAGTTTCAGCAATGAGCTTGGGATTAATCTCCTCTAACTGCTGAAGAACCTGCTGAACATCCGGCCTCGCATCAGGCGAAGGATCAACCAAGTGCAAGGCCAATTTCAATGTGTTAAGCATTTCATCCCCAGTAGTTGAAACATCCCTCATCAACTCCAAATCAAAAACCTCATTAGTCCACTCTTCCTTAACAGTTGATGCAACCCACTGCGGCAAATCTAAACCGTCCACTGACTCATTAGGAGACTTCCCTGTCAAGAGCTCCAATATGATCACCCCTAGACTGTAGATGTCGGTTTTAGTAGTCGCCTTCTTAGTCTTCGGAAGCTCAGGTGCACGGTAGCCTGCTGAGCCGGCTGTGGCAATCACATTGGTGTTTGCAGAGTCAGTCATAAGCCTGTGAATCCCATAATCAGATATTCTGGGGTTGTTTTGCTCATCTAGGTATACATCAGTTGAAGTCAGACTTCCATGAACTAAGCTCTCTTGGCTATGAATATAGTTCAGTCCACGCGTTACTCCTATCGCGATCTTCATCCTCGTTGGCCAATCAATCGTGGTTTCTGGTCCTCGAGCTGCAAAAAACATCCCAAATTATATGTACAAGTTCATAGTCTAGGAAACTATATCACCAAAATCAAATTTTAACACGAAAAGTTCACAATGAATTACCTATTAGACTATTAAAGATAACCTTGATTTTGGTGATGTAAACCAAAAACATATTGATCATATAAGTAAAAATAACCAAAATCATATTAATCATATAAAATATAATTTATAAACACAGGATTCCCTAGCATTATAACATAATTAAAAAGCACAAGACATGATATAAACATAAATATTAGACTTGCTGCTTACCATGAAGAAATGAAGACAGACTACCCTTAGACATGTAGTCAAAAACCAGCAACTTCTCTCCTTTAGGTCCCAAGTAATAGGCCCTAAGGGGGAGAAGATTCGGGTGACGAATCCTTCCCAGTGCAGCAACCTCTATCTCAAACTCTTTCGGAGTCTTTGCAAGCTTCTCTCTAAGCCTCTTAACCGCGACTTGATTACCATCCTCAAGTGTGGCCTTATACACGGTTCCGTAAGGGCTCTTCCCCATTATCTCCGCAGTTGCACACAGCAAATCATCAGCTGTAAACACAAATGGTCCATCAAACAACACCAATTTACCGCCATTCGGTCCGGTTTCAGCACTTGCTCCAGCAGCACCTGCAGCAAAACCCTTCTCAACTCCAGCAGACTTACCATTCCTAGCTTTAGCACCTGCTCTTTTCCTGAACAAACAAAACAGCAAAACACAGCAAAGTACAAACAATATTGCAAGAAGTGCTCCAACAATAATCAAGATTACATCCTTTGTACTCAATCTTCTATGATGGTGCTTTGATTTTTCACTAGATAATGGGCTCATTGATGGGGTTTCAGCTGGTGTTGCTGCAATACATGGAGTTGAAGGACTAAACCCACACAACTGAATGTTCCCTACAAATGAAGATGAATTGAATTGCTTCGAAAGGCGGTCCGGAACTTGGCCGGAGAAAGAGTTGTAGGATACATTGAAAGAGGTCAAATTTGAAAGGTTTTCAAGGGAAGCAGGAATTTCTCCTGTGAAGTTGTTCTCTGACAAATCAAGGAGACTAATCCTAGAAAGATTACCAATTGAAAGAGGAACGCCTCCTGTAAGATGGTTTTTCTTGAGATTAAGAGATGACAAATTCTTCAAACCAACCAATTCCTTAGGAAAACTACCATTAAACTTGTTATAACTCAAAGATAATTCCTCAATACTACTCAAATTGCCCAAAGAATGCGGGATACTCCCATTGAAAGAATTATGATCAAGGGTAAGTGACCTCAAATTTTGGGTACTCCAAGAAATTGGGATTGACCCAGAAAGATTATTACTTTGAAGGGCAAGATAAACCAAAGAAGAAGAAAGAGCAAAACCTCGAGGAATCGAACCCGAAATCAAGTTAAAACTCAAATTAACCCTATGAATCCTAGGAGAATTAACAAGATTAACAGGAATAGACCCAACAAGCAAATTATTACTAAGATCAATAGCTTGAATTTGAGGAGAGTTCCCAATTGAAGGTGGGATAACCCCAGAAAATCGATTATTGAACAAATAAAGACCTCTAAGATTAGGAAGAGACCCAATAGAAGAAGGGATAGTACCCCCAATAAGATTATCATGAAGACTAAGCTTTCTAAGCTCTTTAAATTGACCAATTTTGTTAGAAATTCTTCCTCCTAAAACCTTGAATGGAAGTTGTATTGCTACCACTTGTCCCTTGACACACCTGACGCCGGCCCAGCTACCGGAGCAGGCTCCATTTCTAGTACCATTCCAGCTCTTAAGCGCGCCGCGAAGATCGATGAGCTCACGCTGAAACGCTTGTAGTGCTTGAAATTCAGAAAGGGTGATTATAACACCATCATTTTGTTGTCCTGTTACAAAATTGGGTGAAATGCATAGTAGATGAAAGATTGAGTATAGTAATGAAAATTTAAGCAAATTTAAGGCTACCCCTTTTTGTTTTCGTGTATAATAAAAACCACCCATTAATCAAAATGCAACAAAAATGCACAATCTATGTATATGTAAACAATTTTTTGTTTTAAAAAAAGATGAATGTATGAATATATATGAATAAATAGTGACTAATAATATGGTAAGAAATAAATAAAGAAAGTATAAGTTAAATTTGTTTTGTTGTCTTCTCTTTTGATGTTGTTAGAAGAGAAGAA